ATAAGAGGACAGACACATAAAAAACTGATGTCTATTTTTTAACTATCAAGCTAGTATAGGTAAACTTCAATGAACAACAGCCTTTTTAACTATACAACGCTTTTCGCTAACGATAAGCGATCGCAATTTGCCGAAAAGTGTTGTATAATGTGGTCGATTGGCTAGACATGAAGGATCGTTGAAGCGGTCGATTTTATTTTGAAAAAGAATTAACGATCCTTCATGGCCAACCAATCGACCACATTATTCGCAAACAAATAGGTTTACTTCGAGACTACGATATAGCGCCGTTTGTCGCTCGATCGACGGCTTGAGCAATGGACCTTTCATCAACACAGACGGAGAATGGGTGGGGCCGAATCCGAGGCAACATTAATGCCTTTAAAACTGCGACGCCAACACAAAAGCAAGCAAGAGAGCACTAGTTTTGCAGAAAGCAGCGTGAAAACATGACAAATTCTTAAAATATTTTTACTGAGTTGAAGCCTGTGGATATGGCGGGAAACTCTAAAAGGATGAAAAGCGTGCGCGTGTATAGTGGCGGGAAACTCTAAAGATGAAGCGCGTGCGCGTGTATAGTGGCGGGAAACTCTAATAAAGATGAAGCGCGTGCGCGTNGCGTGCGCGTGTATAGTGGCGGGAAACTCTAAAGATGAAGCGCGTGCGCGTGTATAGTGGCGGGAAACTCTAATAAAGATGAAGCGCGTGCGCGTGTATAGTGGCGGGAAACTCTAAAGATGAAGCGCGTGCGCGTGTACGGTGGCGGGAAACTCTAAAGATGAAACGCGTGCGCGTGTATAGTGGCGGGAAACTCTAAAGATGAAACGCGTGCGCGTGTATGGTGGCGGGAAAATTGTACAATGCTCCCCCTATGATCGAGACTTCGCTATGCGCCTCTGAATGGTGGTCAAGCATCGATCATTTTGTATGAGAGGAAATGACGCTAAATGAAACCCAGCAATAGTCCCCTTCACAGTTCTCAGAGCCATCTTGAAAGGTAGCCGTGCCTTTGCATCGACGCGGTTAGTATTTTATGTTAAGAAAGACTTCATGAAATGGCACCTAATTTATGATTATTTGTAAATAATAGTTGTCCAAGGTGATAAAAGGTCTCCATCATTGCAAGTTCACCGTTTATCTCGCTTAGATGTAAAGGCACGGCTATAAACCTTTCGAGATTGCGCAGGAAACTGTGAAGAGGAATACTAGCATTTACTTACCTTAACTGTCTGTCTTGGTGAGAGCACTTCCGGTGCTGAGTAGAAAGGATTTCCCGGATTGATTGACATGTTCCCACTYTCAAAATCCGCTGACCCAAAATCACACAGCTTCGCGCGCCAAACATTTCCTTGACGCCACACCATCACATTCCCTGGATTCACGTCACGATGAATGATTGGACGAGGACGAAAGCAATGTAAATAATTCAGCCCATAAGCTACGTCTTGACCAAGCGTGATCACGTGACTCGGCTCCAGTACTTTATCACGTGTTAGGAGCTGAAATAGTGACATGTCCATTAACTCAGTAACCAATAGCGGGCTGTTAGATCGATAGTCTGCTACTCCCAGAAATTGTAGAATACAGGGATGGCGTACTAAGGTAGCGAATGTGATTTCTCGATCAAATAAGAGTTTATTGTGCACTGATTGGATGATTTCGTGGAGTTCTTTAACCGCTACTTTCATTCCACGGAAGTTGCCCTCGTAAACCTTTCCCCAGGCCCCAGTACCGAGAACTCTATCGGTCAGGATAATTTCATCTCTTGTAATCATCCACGGTTGATCTTTTCTTAGGATGTCAGCAGAACGCTTCGCACGGTTCCTATCAGCTTCTAGATTCTGTACCGTTCGTTCCTGCGCTTGTTGACTTGCTTCGAGCCGTCGCAAACGGTCCTCGCAAGTCCGTTTTTCTTCTCGAAGTCTTGTTAAACTGTCTTGCAAATTTTGCCTCTCAGTTTCAAAACGTTTTTCAATACTTCTTCTTTCTTCGTCAGCTTGTCGTTTCAACCTCTCGGTTCTTTCTAACGCGCGCTCCTTGTCAGCTAAAGTCGTCTCTTTTCTCTTTAACTCTTCTCTTACTTTCCTCAAATCTGATTCAATTTTATCTAACGCTTGTCCTTTAGCTGAAGCCTCCATCTCTTTTTGTCGAAGCTGGATTTTATCTCTTTCTTTTTCTCTGTTAATTTTGTCCAAAGTGAATTGTATATCCGTGCAAGTGCGTTCACTCTCTCTGAGCTCTTTTTGAAGCAGGTCTTTTTCTCGATTCAAATTACTTAAGACCTTTCTTCCTTCATCGATGAGGCTTTCCCTATCTTTCAGTTGTGTTTTTAAACGCTCATTTTCTCTTCTTATAGAACTTACTTCAAACCTTTCCTCATTTAGTACTCCATTCGCCTCAGACTTTTCTTTTTTGGTTTCCGTATGTTTTGCTTTTTCCAAAGCAATCTGAATTTCTTTAGCAACTTCTTCTTGATCGTGTAACTGATTCTGGAGATTTCGAATCTCAGAAGTAGAATCTTTCAATGATTTATCCTTTTCGCTTAAGTTGACTCTAAGTTCTTCAATTTGGGTTTTCAGATTAACGTTTTTTTCGCTGTATCGTTGTATAATATTGTCCTTCTCTGCTATAACTTGGTCTCTCTCTTCAATTCTCTCTAGGCATCGTTCATTCTCACCTATCATCTTCACAAACTGTCTTTTCCCTTCTTTTATTATATCAGTGTGACCTCTAATTTCAATCGCTTGTTTAGTGATTAACGATTTCATATCCTCTTTCTTTCTTGGTATATTAACTACAATTTCATCGCCTGATAAATTCTTCAAGTCCAAATCATCTTTACTTCGTCTTTTCTGCTTTCCTTTTTGGGGTTTCTTTCCATTTTCTTTCTTGCTCTCGACTTTCTTGCTTTCTTCCTCGTCGTCTTTGGCGTTTTGTATGTCCTTACTGCTTACAGATTCGAAGCTAATGGATCGTTYGAGCGGGGAAGCGGGCTTCTCTTTAGCACTCTGGGTATCAATGATTATAAATATCATAGATTAAAAACTCTTTTACTCCGACGAAGGACTAGCGTCCGAAACGTCAGTAAGTTTTTCCATCTTTTCACAGTATATAATTTACCCTTTTATCATTATCTGTCTGTCCGTGTCGATTGGTCGAGGAAGATTGGTTACGAGTCAAAAGTCCCTGGGGGAGGGGGCTGGGGAGGGTCCCCTATTTTGGCTTTATCATCCCTTGAAGTCCGGGTCGACTCTCTTAGGTGCCAATCTATTCCAACCTCCCCTCCCCTAGTATCATCGTTGGATTATTACAGTATACAACATAGAACAATAGTCAACTCTTATATTAGAGAGCTATTATCATTATCCTTTCTCAGCGAAGGCTTGCTTGCAGAGTGTCAAACATCGAATCTACTACGACCAATGATAAAGAAAAAATACTTAAATTTTTGTCAACATTTGAATGCTATGTAGTCAAAATATAAATTTGGATTTGAAAACGAATTAATTTTAAATACTTAACAATTGAATTATCGAATCAATTAACACATTCTAACGGTTTTCTAGTAACTGTACAAACTTCTATCTTTTAAAAATCAAAAACAAAACTTACTAAAAGCGGGTTTTCTATCATCGGATTTAACATAGAAATAGCTAAAAAATGTTGAGGATAAATTTGAGTAAATATCTCACGCAAGTGTGTCTTAAAACAAACTAAGATCGTTGAGTCTGAGTATCACTTATACACACCTGGTTTCCCATTAGTAAATCTTTTTGAAGTCGGTTTTCACAAGTTTAGAACACCTTAGCGACTTCCTTTTCCTTGCAGAGCAGAGTATCGTTTCCAAGATGTCAGACTTCTTCAACAAAACAAACAGTTTGTTCATAAAAGTTTGCTAATTATCTGTATTCGTCTCAGAAATACTAACGTAAACAGCTCTTTCGTTGTTCTAGTAAAACGTTAGTTTTCCTTTTTTGGTAGTTATATTGGATTTTGAGACAGTGAAAATGTTTTTAAACAACAGTACTTCGAGGTGTAGCGAGTTGTGAATTAGATTAGGTGAGTCAGAAATGTAAATCAGCATCTTGCTGTCGTTTCTTTGATTATACGTCCGTGACAGAGATTACTTGATTGATTTAGAACAAAAGCAAATTTGGCCTAGTTAATCCACGCGTAAAATCATGTGCATTTGCGAGGTCATGTGGTAGGTATGATGTCATTACGCAGAGGAAATACTTAGAAAGAGCGGAATTAGAGTGGTTTTCATAAACCCGTGAAATACACACTGCAGGACCCGGTTGTACGAAGGGTGGATAGCGCTATCCAACGTGTAAATCCTTATTCAGTGGATTAGTCGATGCTGTAATCCAATGTAACGCGCAACACTCCCTGTCGGTGCAACTGCAACGCACTATTGCGATAGCATCAATTAATTCGGTTTCAAATGAACGTTACACGCTATCTAATTGTTTTACTGCAAACGTATTGGAAAAACATTCTTTGTTTAACGTTCTCTTGCTTTCATCCGTATTCGAATATGTTACAAGCAAAAATTGAAACTCAATAAGTAAATGGAATGGGAATATCCCACAGTTTTTGTTTCAAAAAAATGTCTTTTTCGATAGAGCTGGAGGTGATCACCACCACCATCAGCACCATCATCATCACCACCATCATCACCATCACCATCATCACCATCATCAATACCATCACCACCACCATCACCATCACCATCATCACCACCATCATCATCACCACCACCATCATCATCACCATCACCTTCACCTTCACCATCACCATCACCATCACCATCACCATCACCATCACCATCACCATCACCACCACCATCACCATCACCATCACCACCACCATCACCATCACCATCACCATCACCATCACCATCACGTACACCAACGCCAACATCATCATCATCACCATCTTCTTCGGCTTCTTCTTCTATTTTTCTTTTTCCTTCTTCTTCTTCATCTTCTTGGTCTTCATCCTTTTCTTCTTCTTCTGAAAACAACTCTCAGACAACCTAGTATTTTCCATATTCATTTGACATCGCATCGATTTTCTTACATCACAAGAACTTAACTGGTTGACACGGAAAAGTGACAGAGAAGGCATGACATCCTAGTAATCACCACATTAGGTTTGTCATATAGTAGCAGTTCTTCCATTTACAGTAACAAGTCCACTTTGAAGCAGATTACTTTCCTGTTGCTCCAACAAAGTTATAACTTCAGCCATTGTTGGCCGTGCTTCGGGATCATCGTGAACGCATCTCATAACCAACTCGCGCAACACCCCATTCGTTACCAGATTCACCTGCTCACGCGTCTGTTGAGGGACTGGTAGTTCACGTATACACATTTCGCATAGAAGTAAACCAAAACTGTAAATATCGACCTGTAAGAGAAAGGACCAATATTACACATGCAATTTTTAAAATATTTAAATTCTATCGATCAATGTGTGAAAAATTCTTTTTAAACTGTTTTGTAGGTGAATAAATTCATTATAAGTACTGGTTTCCAAGCAGACACACGGTGCAACATTGCGCGCAACATTGCAGGCAATATTGCAGAAGTAGGATAGTTTTCTACTACATCATCAAATTACTTCGTGTGACATGGCTCGCAACATCAATTGCATGCAACATTGCGCGCAATGTTGCACAGTGTGTCCGTAGGTAGCTTTACACACACACACACGCACACACACACACACACACACACACACTACCACTACATTTAATATTCTATGTTGACTTTTACGGAGGGAGAAAAACCAGAAATTATCCAAAGAAAATACTTATGGCAAGGGACGGAATAGAACTCAGACATTTCAACGGATTGTTGTGAAAATGATTTTTCACTACCGCAAGTCAAGAATATRAAAGGTACCGACTGATTATTTTTGGTTGACGGCAGGAAAAAAACAAATTTCAGCGTGCAGCTCGTAACTACCGAATTCGCAGAATATGGAACACCGCAGCAAACAAACTCAATCCACATACTGATTTTTGCGGAGGGAGGAAGACTGGAGAATCTGGAGGAAATCCTCGTTGGAGAGAACAACACAGCAGACAAACAGAACTCAACTCACCTTGGTTGACTGTTGCGAGGTGGACGCCTCTGGTGCTGCATAGATCCCAGCCCCAGGGTTTACCGTCATGCATTGCCTCATGAAATTAGCCGCTCCATAATCGGAAAGTTTGGCGCGCCAACATGTATCACGTTTCCATAGTAACACATTAGAACTACTGATGTCACGATGAATGATTGGAAAAGGTTTATTAAGATGGAGGTAGTTGAGAGAACGAGCAACGTCTAACGCAATAGTGATGATTTCCTCTTGGTGAAGGGATCGACGTGAAAGAATCGCTCGTAGATCAGTGTCGAGAATTTCGGTCAAGAATAAAGGGATCCCATCGTCATTTGTAGCACCAATGAACTGCAGTAAACAAGGATGGCGACAGCGAGATGCGATACTCATTTCCCGTTCAAAGAGCCTACGATTATGAGGTGAAAGAATCAGCTCGTGGATCTGTTTAACTGCAACTTTACTTCCTCGAAACACGCCAACCTTAACTGTGCCCCAGGCGCCTGTCCCCAAGACCGTGTCGGTTGTCGTCACTTCCTCTCTACGTATTATCCAATCACGAGGYTCGATCCGCCGATTTTCTTCCATCAGGCCCTGTGACGTGCTAAGCGCGGCTTGTAGCTCTCGTATCCTTCTCTCGCTATCAGAGATAGTCCTTTCACTTTCTCTTAAACGCTGTTCGTAATTTTGTCGTTCTTGTGTGAACGATTCTCTTTCTTGGCACATTTGTTGGCGTTGTTCACGAAGATCATTTTGAACTCCATCTCTTGAACGTCGGAGTTCATCGTTTTCAATCCTCACGCGACGAAGCTCGTCTTCCAAACTTAATCTTGTAGCGTGTTCTTCTTGATACCTTTGTTCATTTTCCTGTATTCTTTCTTCCCTTCCTTGGAGTTCTCTATCTTGCGTTTGTCGAAAAAGTCTCTGATTCTCCAGCTCATCCATGTGTTGTACACACGCATTTTGGATGCGCTGTAATTCTTCATTCAAGCCTTGTCTAAGGCTCCTTTCCTCTGCACAAACACGTCTCAATTCAGCCAGCTCATTCTCTTTTTCCAGCTGCTGTTTATCACGTATTCCACGTACGACTTTTTCTTCTTCCAATTCTCTGCGCGCTTGAATCAAATCTGCTTGCACCTTCCTCATCCTATTGGACGCCTCCCTTTCTTGTCCCAGCTCTTGTYGTAATTGTCGCAACGTAATATTTTGATTCTCAAGTTCTCTATTTAACGTATCAATAGTTTCAATTTGTTGTCTTAAAAAATGTTGATTTTCGCGATTTGTTGATTGTAGTTCTTGTATCTTTTCAATACTTCGATTCCTCTCTTCTCTTTCTAGTGTCAAAAGCTTCTGGTGATGTTCAAGAGTGTGGCGCTGTTTTTCACTGTGCTGACCAAGTAGTGTAATGTGTGACTCGATTCTGGAATGATGGTGAAGGATGTCACGCTGAGTGTCGGCCGTCACGCTTTTGGTGTCACTTCCCTTCGTTTCTTCAATGGTTTCAACACCTTGTTTCTCGTCAGTGTTGACTACGCGTTTAGTGTGGCATTCAGCTTTCCCGACCGGGTGTCGCGCATCGTTTGCGGATGTTTTAGGAGGTGAAGAAGGTTCTGGCGTAACAACATCAGCCTTTCGTCGTCTACTTCGAGTCACGATCTTGTCCTCTTGTTGCGCATCACTCGTGACCTTACCAGCAGTCTTAGTCGAGGATTGCGTTACACTGTTTTCAGCTATGCTTGTGTTAGTGGAACTTGAATCCTTTAGTGAGAAAAGAGAAGCTATAACATGGGATATTGGGTGATGTAATGGAGGGAAGGGCGCGCGATAGCGGTGGTGGGTGTTCTGAAATAAGGAGAAAAACTTACCGAGGTAGAAGGAGAGCTTTCTTGGAATAAACCTTTCTTAAAACGTGACTCTAAAACAAATAGAAAAAAACAATTTCAAAATTCCAGACGGAATTTTCCAGGAATTTTAAGCCACAGTACGATCCCTGTATAAATATTCAAACCGTAACCTGGCAAACTACTTTTATCTGCACTATTACCTAGCAACCTATTTTTATTGACACCGTTACCTAGCAACATGCTTGCGTTTACACACTTACCTAGCAACCTAATTTTATTTAAACCTAGCAACCCAATTTAACCGTTACCAAGCAACCTACTCTTATTGACACCGTTACCTAGCAACCTACTTTTATTCACACCGTTATCTAGCAACTTACCTGTACTTACACCATTACCTAGCAACCTACTCTTTCTTACTTAGGCTGCGTTCATAATGTATGGTAGAGGGGGGTGAAGGGAAAAGGTGAAAATTTGAAATGTCCAGAATAATTATTAACACCCCCCCTTAAAGTCATGCAAAAAAATACGATCCCCCCTAAGCAAGGCTTGTAGCTTCTTCCAAAAATTATGCATCCCCCAATTTTCTGATAAAAATTTGCCCATCATCCCCTTTTTCCTACAAAAATTTTTCCGATGCCCCTCAATTTCACCTGCCCCCCTCCTCCGAACGCAGCGTTACACCGTTACCTAGCAACTTAATTTTACACCGTTACCTAGCAACCTACTTTTAGGGGTGAGTATTTTCCTCGGTGGTATGGTTGCAGTAGGAGAGGAAGGTTCGGTGGCCTTTTTACTCTTCTCGCTATCTTTTGATTCTGAAGGCGGTTGTTTGTCTTGTGCCGTCTGTTCTGTTGTTTTTTCTTCTGGGTAAAGCAAGGAGTTCATCTCTGATGGACTACAGAAATTCAAAGATAAAAAAAAAGCTTTTGAAATACAGAAGGAAAAAGCGAAAACAATGTACGACATTCTTATGAAAAACGAGCTCTGAATTTAAAAAGTGAAAGGCAGTTCGAGAAACAAGTAAAGCCCCGTTTACACTGGCGATTTTTGCGGCGATTTTTGCTGCAATTTTTGCGGCAATTTTCGGAAACATGAAATCTTTTGTCTCATCCTTCAAAAGAGACATTCGTCTAGGAAAATGTTGGTATCCTGAAAAAAAACTTTACAAGTAAATTCTTTACCATTATTTATTATGGACAAAATCGCAAAAAAATCGCAGCAAAAATCGCTAGTGTAAACGGGGCTTAAGAGGAAATTCAGAGAAACCATGCATTTCCCTTTGCGGATTTGTATTTCGCGCCAAAAATGCGGCTAACTTTGACTGATATTTAAAGAATGGTTTGAAGAGTGGATGGCTAACTAAGTGAGAAGGAAAGGACGAATGGATGGTAGAATAAAAGAGAAAGGATGGAAGGAGAAATTTCAAGACAAGAAAAAACCCAGCAAACTCTACCTGACTTCCTTCCACTTAATTTGGTTTGCAAGCCTTTTCTGAAACTATAAAAAAGAGGTCATAGAGAAAATTAATGTTGACTTTAACACAAAGAATAGAACAACAGATTGGTTCTTGAAATATCCGAGTAGAAGTTGCCACACCTTTGTTTTAAAAAACATGTGAAAATTGTTCAGTATTTTAGAAGTAAGTGTGGATCTTAAATTAGCGAATTTCACAAGCCAAAATGACRAACTATCTATTATTTGGCTAGTTAACTACTGCCATTAGTTCAAGCTCTGTAAATTTGTCTTTATTTACCAGTTCAGTGAGGTCTTGTTTTACTTCTCTTGTTAGTGAGTTACTGTTCAATTGAAGGAAAATTCTGTTCTTGCCATTACCTTCAAATGAAATAGCAACAGAAAACAGTTCAGTTACAAATAGACGAAGTTGAAGAATGGTAACCTTTATTTACTACTTGCTTTTCACTTGTAACAGAAGGATAAGGGACTTTACTGTCTCGAAATGGTGTTTTCTTATTTTAGACCACGTGTCATTCTCTTGAGAATAAGATTCTTTGTTTGAGTTGTATTCATATTCATATATCTTCTCATGTACAGTACAACCGTTAAACAAAGAAATGATACTATAGGGAATGAAATGGGGTCTGAAATAGGAAATCAATAAACCAAGCTAACTTAAACAGTTGTATTTTGATCAACGAACAGACTCATTGCAGCTCTTCTCTAACAAGTGAGAAACAAAGTCTGCACATGCTCATTGCTTATGCTAATACTTGTGGTACAAGTGTAAACCAAGCCTAAATGAACCACTCTTGTAGGGAAAGGGAACTATATAGCTTGACCCCACTTAATTACCTAATATTCATTATACTTTTAACTCCCAGTTCCTCCACTTTTAGTTTTTAGCAAGCCTCCATCCCTCCCTCTTCCCTAGTTTTAATTCTCTGTCATCCTGGAAAAAACTACAAGCTTTACTCTATTCACCTTCTTGCTCAGGATCCAAGAAGTTTCCCTTGTCTTTATTCAAGTCAAGAATGGCCTTGGTAGCAGATTTGGATAAAGTTAATGCAATAATTGGCTTAGATAATTCAAAGCTAACCTGAAAATACATCAAAAAATATGTATTCTTATTTATATATTTTGTAACTAATGTTTTGTGGAAAAAATTGCATTAATACATGTACTTACTGTACAATTAGTGAAATCTTTGCAAGGAATCTTGATAGACATCGTAGAATGGTCTAAAATTGATAAGAATCAAAGATAAATATTGACAATAATGGTTTCGTTGGGTGAGATTATAGTTTGTGATATCATTAAAAACATTTAATGTACCATCTAGTTCAGCCTCCACAAACACTTTTTCTGCATATATCTGGAATAGCAAGAAAAATTATTACTTTAATGTATTACTATTCAAGACTTCCCTACCCTCCAGGGCCTGGTCGAACAAAGGATGGATAGCACTATCTCAGGGATAAATCTTATCCAGTTATTATTTATTAGATAACAGCATCACTTTATCCACTGGATAAGGGTTTATCCTTCAAATAGCACTATCCACCCCTCGTACAACTGGGCCCAGGTTAGCTACAGTACTAACCTTAACTGGTGCAGATGCTTTAGCATGTAGTGTACCAATTACAACTTTACTAACATGCATGACAATATAGATAGCTTTTTTCTTTGCCATCTCTTTGGCAGGTTTATTACTTGATACGTCAGAGCATGATGGTTTATCAGCTTTGGGTGGGTCACTGACAACTTTACTTTTGATTGACAGTTCTTTCCAGCRTGTAACAGTAGTGTGGGTGTCGTTTTTCTGAACATAAATTTAATTGGTTATTACTAAATTGAACAACATGAACATTTGATAGCCCATTAGCCAGCTAGCTAGCCAGCCAACCAACTGACAGACTGACTAAACGACTGTTCAACCAACCAACTAGCCAACCAACTGATGGACCGACCGACTGGCCGACCAACCAGCCAACCAACCAACCAACCAAACGACTGACTGAATAACCAGGCAACCAACCAACAAGTGGTGATAACAAGTAGAGTACTAGCGTGGACCAACCAACAGACTGACTGTGTGACCAACCAACTGACTGGCCAACTAACTGTGTTTCGAGTGAAACAATAATGATAAAAAGGTAAATTTTACGCCATGAAAAGATGAAAAAATTTAGTGATGTTTCGGACACTAGTCCTTCATCGAAGGACTAGCGTCCGAAATGTCAGTATGTTTTTTCATCTTTTCAAGGTGTATAATTTACCTTTTCATCATTCCTCAATCRTAAACCTGTTGTGACCTTGGTCTTGATGAGCACAAAGCAAAGAAAACAGTCTTTGGTAATAAATTACCTTTGGTGATCCCAAACTTGTTAATAAAGCATCTGAACTTAATGTCTTGGACTGACTAGCCATTGGAGCAACAGATGATGCATGCCCAGTATCCATATCTTCCTGTGCGTCGATATCCATTGCTTCTTCATGCTCTACATTCCTGTGGCTCATTATCTTTTGCTGTGTAGTAAGTGAACCAAATACACTTTTAGTACTACCAAAAACATGGTGAGTGCTTCCTGTTCCAGGCTGGTATGCTAAACCATTAAGACTATGATGTAATCCACTAGGTAATGACTGTAAAGAACCATGTATTGGATTATTAGTACTTGTGGAAGAAGTGCCAGCCATTCCAAAGCTAGGCAATGAACTAGCACGAGGGGGACTGAGATATCCTGTGGGGTGGTTTGAGTTGCGCCATGACGGTGTACTTCCCTTGTCGTGATGAGCTCGCAAGCTGCCATACTCTGTTCTATGTCTAGATCTTGTTGTTCTTGGAGAAGTAGTTGGAGAGTTTGTTGGGGAGAGAGATCCGTTGACTATGACTCTAGATGTAGATGGCCTGGGCTGTCCAAAATGCTCCATATCATTCCTCCTGCATTACCAGTCATAACCTAGTAAATTAAATATCAATAATCAGTTAGAGTGAAGTCATTAAACCCGTGAAATAGATGTTAGACTAATACACTTTAGTAGACCCTAATTACATTGTTTTCTTTTGTGTCTATTTGACTATTACACGTTGACTAGTATTTTTTATTTCACGGGTTAAATGCCTTCACTCTAGATAATCCAATGCAATCATTCCCAATAAAATGAAATAACAAAATACATGGTGGCCATGTTGGATGATATAACAAGAGAAACAAAAGACAAAACTATGAAAACCCATGATCCCATCTCTCCACACTTCATCATCACTAACCAATTGCTTACTATCAATCACATGACTTTTTGGAGTTGACTGGGGGGCAAACAAGCGGTTGACTGGGGGGCAACTAGCGGATGCTAAGTCAAAATAAGTCCTCAAACTATTGTATTTGACTATTTCTACCACAACAAACCAGAAAACAAGGGATCAAAACAACCTCCAGGATTCTACAAGCCATCAAAAAAGAGCTATTACCAAAAGTGACGTCTATTGATAGCAACCTATACCAACAGGGACATAAGAACCACTGAGGATGTAAAGAAACCCTGGCACTGACCACCCTCATGCTAACTCTCTTTTGCGATTGTAGATTGCATAAAAAGCAATTTGAAATTCCCAACTCAATGTTAAGTGCCTTGGATTATAATAGACCCCTTTCAAATTCAAAATTACCGCTGTCTTCCTTGATTACAGACTCATTTGCACAGGGTTAGCCTTGAGTTTGTGCAGAATATTCACGTGTTCCAGTCAAGGTCTGTCGAGTTTCAAAATATTTTTATTGTTGAAGTTGTGCATTCTTTACTTTTCTGTTGGTATTTGTGAATATTTAAACACTGATGCGAGGCTAACCCTGAGCAAATGAGTCTGTAATCAAGGACCGCAGTGGTAGTTTGGAATTCRAAACTGGTCTATTACATTATGTATATATAGAAAGGCTACTATGTAATATGACTATAATCATAACTCATTTATTTATCGCTATTATTTATTAAATAATAGGTTTTTTTGGTTACAAATTAGGTGTTGTTTAGCAATATGGTTTTTTCATTGGGTTTGTTGGGAGTCCAGTAAATCCCATGGGGTCTAAACCGTAACATACATTCAGTTACTGTATGCTCAGATAAACAAGATTTGACGTTTTTCTTTCATCAAAACAAAATTAGAATTACCAGAACAATTTAAGTCGTTAAAAATAAATAATTAAATCTTAATTAGAGTCTTATGTTCAATATTCCCTATAATCATATAATCATACCTACAATATAAAAATTTGAAGTAGAGTGCAAACAATATAACTGTGAAACTTTAGTAATACTAAATAGTACAATTTCATGCAAATTCTATTGTTTTCTATTGTTTAATCAGCACTATTTTGTACTATTTAGTCATTAGTGTTTCACGGATTAATTGTTTGTACTCTAGTTATGGATAATGCATTTACTAGAAAATGTCTGCTACGAATAAGATAGTTGTAAAGGTGAATAAAGAAAGCTCTCTCTATATGATTCTTAAGTAAAAGCCAGATAATCAAAATGAAAGTTGAATTAAATATTCTATTATTATTTTTTCTCAATCTATTGTTATTTCATATCTGTGATTACTATGTGCAAAATAAGCTTTTAGAATTACTTTAAATGAAATATTTAAGACATTATTTAAAATGTAACTTCTAATAAATTGTCAATATATTGAAAACAAATATATTTTAAATTTGACTAAACAAACTCGTTAATAAAAGAAAACAACAATTGGAAAAAAATAATTSCAGAAAAAAATTGAAATATAAACTTCACTGAGAAAAAAATGTGTCTCATTTTACTGAAAATCCTCCTTGACATAGAATAGAAAAGATCACCATTTATCGAACAAAAGCTGAGCACAAAGAAAATATCATTTTAAGCTTATATTGACAATATAAAAACCAGTTGAAATTTTTATGTAGGCGGCTAGTGGGAAGAAAAAATAACATGATCTAATAATTATGATTTTCGTATTCTGATTTGAAAAAGCGATAGAAATTCTATACAATCAGCATTAAGAATAAACGTAATATCACACAAGCAGATAATAATGAAGTAAAATATTATTCTACAATCGAAATCAGCTCAGCAACGAAGCTAAGACGTTGCCATCTTTGAATTCCCCTTACAAAGAAACCCTCGACTTTAAACCCAAGTTTCTTACTTATTTTAAATCCGATTGAGATAAAATATGATTCCTTTCGTTTTCTATTATGTATATTAAAGATCTAAATGAAGTTTTGTTAGTTTTTACCTGTTTTTTAGGAGTTTTTAGGTGTCATTTTGTAGAGGTTTTGATGCTTCTTGTCTATGTTTCTCGACATCTTTTTGTTTACATCTACAGCGCACTTTATTAGCGCATTCTTTGTGCATGTCTTACCGCTGTGTCTTGAAGATCCAAATGCTGGGGGAGGGGTAGGTAAGGGAAATTGAATAGCGAAAAAATTTAATGATTGAAAATAAATAAATTAGATAAAAAATTAATTTAAAAAATGTAAAGCACAAGAAAAGAAAATTGATGGATGGATGGATGGACGGAGGGAGGGAGGGAGGGAAAGAGTCGAGGGATGGATGGATGGATGAATGGATGGATGACAGGTGTGAATATATCCCTTTAGAACGCGGAAAATCTTAAAAATATAGTAATCGATTGAAAGTTTTGAAAAAATACCCACTTATTCTAGTTTTAGTAGGCTTAAGTTTCAGGTCACCCATCCAGGTACTAACTTCGCCCAACCGGACCTGACTCAGTGTCCTGATATGGAAGCCCAAGGTTTTATCCACTGGACCACAGTTCCAGGTAAATCAGCATAACAATAGCCGTRAAAACAATGCACCGAATAGACTAGACTTTTTAACMTTATWTTTYCAACCGATTCCGTGCGTGGCAGAGATGCAAGGGATTAGCCGATATGGTCTGGGGGCCGGCTGGTCTCTCCCCTGATGCTTCGGCTAGAACATTTTCTTGCGTAATTCGTACACCCAAGGGCAGAAGGATTTAATCGCCGTCAGGTCCGAAGTCCATACGACGCCTCAGCTCTGCGGATGTCTCGGGGGTATGGCAAAGTAGAATCGATTTTTTGTTTTTAATTTCTGCGGTTGGGTTCGTTCAAACCCGACCGTATCCAGAATTGTTTTTATTTAAAAAAAAAAGCATATTGTTATCAAGTTGGCGATATCTTTTTAGAAAGAGTGACTACCCAATCCCTTTTTTTTTTTCCGCATTCAGAAGTAATAGTTTAGTAAGCAAACATCCCATCAGTAAAATTAAGTATATTTTCCTGATTTGAAATGCATCCTGGGAACAGTTTACTGACAAGAGCTTTTACTCCACTTTGTTTTAACTTCTTGTACAATTTACTCTCTCTATATGGCTATAATTTCTGTTTATATGGTACTGCGACATACCGCATCTCTAACCAAAGACGCCAGCATTTCCCAGTCCCCGCGCACATATACCCAACCCATCTCCCCCACTCGTTTTTGTTTAAAGCTATCATGAAATATTTATCAGTGATTTATCAAACTACATTATAAACAATGTGTATATAAAACGTGCATTCCTTGGGCACGGTTTCATTGGCCTACTTACACATCAAATATTGCTACATCAAAAATGCGCACACGTGCTGCGGAGTAGCATGCGGGGATTGGCAGAACAAGAGAAGTGTTAAGAGAAGCGAAATAAGACTTAGGAGTAGTAATCTGAGTTTCAGGCACAAGGGGAGGAGTAGTGCTTCCCGTGTTCTCCATTCCCCACATGCTTAATAACTGCATACAACACAGCAAGCAAGTTTTTAAATGTCTTCAGTAAAATACAAACTATACTTGTTACTTTGGATACGAATGAAGAAATAGAAAGTGCGCATGTGTGCTGTCAAGTCAATGGCGGATCCAGGATTTTTTTGAGGGGGTGGGCGGTCCAAAACCTACACTCAATTATAGTGACGTCATTTTTGACGTAACCTTCATAACGCAAACACGACAACGTGATTTGGCTTTCAATTTATAAACCTACATGACTTTCAATAGAAAAGGTTTACGATATCATAGTTTAAAGATTATCTGTAATATATCGTATGTTAAAAAGGGGAAAACGAGTTGTAAGGGAGGGGGGTCCGGACCCCCTGGGCCCCTCCCCTGGATCCGCCCTTGCAAACACAATGCAAGATATATATAGCAGTTATTTTCTATAAATCATATTTGAGTATCAGTGGGTACGGAAATCGCCTCATTAGTCGAGCTCGTACTCATGTTTTTTTGATGGCGTGCTGCTGTCTCCGCAGTGTCTAACCGAAAGGCATGCCTTGTCAACTGTTCTTTCATATATTGCTTCGTGTTCTTGTGCGGCCTCCAGATAATGATGTATATTTTTGGCCAAAACATGCAAAACARCAATCCCGTGGCGGCGACAATCGTGGTGGCACTCAAAACAACAACGCTGTATATGTCGTGTATGTTGAGATAGACTGGATAAAATGCAAGCCATGAGATTACTAGAATATACATTGAGAATGCTATGAATTTGCCCTCGTTGAAGTTGTCTGGTAGCTTCCTTGCCTTATAGGCGAAGTAGCTGCAAGTGAATGAAGCGAGGATAAGGATAACCATCAGAATGTTACTGCAAGCTTTGCCTGCTGAAGTCACCGATGGTTTGCAGGTCTGGATATACATTCTGTCATTGGATTTATCTAAGTATGGACTTGGCCGATCCACAGAGACCCAAACTACTATGATAATGATCTCTGCGAGGGCTGTGCATACAACGAAGAAGACATGGCGGAATTTCCCGAATCCGGAAGAGAATTTTGAACGCGGCATTCTTTCTTGGAAGAGCAGTACAATCTTGTTGGTCTTGGCACCAAGAATAACGATACACGTCGTGTAGAAGAGGTAGAACCATACTTGGCTGAGTACGCACACGAGGTTAGATGGTTCCGCAAGGTATACAAAAGGGGCTAAATAACACATAGAAATACAGAAGAGAAGCATATAGCTGAGATCTCTATTGGAAGCTTTCACGACCGGCGTGCTATTGTACTTGATATATAAAAGAGCGACGCACACTGAAGCTAAGAATCCAAGAAGTCCAATAACTAGGAATGCTTTGCCTACAGAGCTGTCGTAGGTAATGTGAACAATGGGTACATCCAAGCATTTAGTGTGCCCTGGATTAGGRATGGTCTCTGGAGGGCATTTGGTGCAGTTCTTGGCGCCGTAAGTCGTAGATATTTCATCATAACCACAATTGATGCACTCCCAACAACAACTGATTTCTGCTGTTTGTCTATAACCAGGAGAACATGTTTCCTTACAGATAGACCTTGGAACATCACCTTTGCTATCTCCATCCCACATAATCATAGCATCATCTAGATCGAGAGGGACATTCCTGGCCGCGACCCAAGAACCGATTTGCGTGAACTCCCAAGAACCATTTTTTTCTTGTAGATTAACGATGGAATAAGATCCATCTGGGTCACCATTGGCATCAAAATGAACTCGTGATACTGGGCTTGTGAAGTTCACATTATGTAAATATCTTAGAAGATCTTTGGGATTCGTTATAGATGGGCATTTGCCACCATCTAGAAGTCCAAACGGTTCCTTGCACCTTTGCATTGCGTCTAATGCATGTGCAATAGCAAAGACAGCATTTATGACATTTGCAGACATGCTCGTATGCATTTTATTAATATAAATTTCTCTCGTGATTTTGGGGTTAACGGTTCCGAATTGTTCGTCCCAAAATTTAGTCCACCAGTCGACTGGTCTGTACGTAGATGGTAGGTTTACTAAGTATTCTACGAACTCATCAACCACACTATTCCGCAGTACTACGCCTACAAGCCCCTTGATCACAGGCATCAAATTTTCATCCAGCATTTTCCTGGAATTCCCCCAACCTTCGCTTGCAATCCACGTCTTGTGCGAAACCTTCTGCCTCATAACTTCTTCCATAACTAGTTTTGCGCCCCTTGAAGTGCAATATAGGACAACAACATCAACATTTTCAAGAGTTTTCAACTCCTTTATGATCTTTTGAATCTTCTCCTTCGTTGCATTCAAGTTGTGCGTAGGCTCTGGAAAATATCCTTCCATTGCCAGACACGTGCCTTTCTCTTGGGACTTTTTTCGAAAGTAATCAATACCCGAGCGACCGTACGCATTGTCCACGGCAATCGCTGCAACATATGTCCAGTTGAAACGACATGCAATATCAGCCATGGCTTGAGATTGAAACCGGTCAGGGGGAACCGTGCGAAAGAATGTAGAGTAAACATTGCTTTTACTGAGTTCGTCGGACGTTGCTGCGTAACTTATGATCGGTAAACCTTCCACTTGAAGTAAGTTGGATACTAGAATCGAACTACTGGAAGTACCGGTTCCAATCATAGCTGGAATACGACCTAGTCCATGTGAATGCGAGATGCAACGTTCTTGGTCTGAATTGCCTTCATACAACGACGACATCTTTTGTCTGTTAACCATTTCTAGAGCGATTTCCATCGCAAGCCTTTTAGATAGATATGAATCGTAGACTTCAAAGCCAAGGCTAATGTTAGGCAGTATTGATGAATCGTTATTGATTTTCTCAACCGCGTAGACCATTGCTTGAGACATAGTCATGTAGTTAGGTCGAAAACTAGCACCAACATGGATGGGGAATATTCCACCGATAGAAATAGTACCATTTTTGACAAACTTACGGTTGACGAGAGACGGGAAACCAATGGCGTCGCCATAAAGACACAAAGAAACGACCAACAGTAAATTTAAGCCACCCAGGATTCGAATCACTACTGCCATCGAGTCGAGTATCCGTCGAGAACCCAATAACGTAGCTGCTAAAACTATTCAGAGCTTACGAAACTTGGAGTTCCGCTTTCGTTCATGACCGATTCAAAGTGCTTTAAGTACCAAAAAAGGAAATATTAGATGTCAGTAAGTAATGTCACGACATGTCACTCATGAACAAGGGATACTTTGGTCCGCACGAAATACGTTCTAGCACAACACCATATATTTTATACTTAATTATTTCATGGTCATTGAACCAAGTTCACCAAGCTTGTATTTTGATGACCTATTCTTTCCAGTTGAGTTGTTTTTTTGCGTGATTTAATCAGTGACCTGAGGCTTTTTCCTGTCTGCTGACACARACTAACTTCACTAGTTAACTAAGGCAGCGCTGATAAAGAAATTGGATCCCAAAACTATATATATTAAAGTGAGATGAAGCTAATTGACATAAATTATTTCATGTCGTGATGTCAAGAGTTTTCATTTTCGCCTTGAAGTTAGATATTGAATTTAATTATTCTTAATGAAGAAAGCCTTTTTTTCATTTCCTCTGTTTTCCAAAACGAATCTCAATTATAATTCAAAATAGTTCTGACTAAATATTTGGAATTTCGAATTATCGGGTTTTTTTTCTTGTTGGAAGTTACGACTGATCAAAAAAAGGTTTCATATGCTAAACTACGTGGCATACAGCTGTCAATTTATGACAAATCTTAAGTATAAAATTTGGTATTAAAACGGTGGGGGATCGAAAACAGTGTTATTCATTAATGGAAATCATTCAAAGTCACCTGTATTAAGATAATTGATGCATTCATCAACACGTCACTTTACGTAGCATTTAAACCCGCTGTAAATGAAAATCTGCATTGACAACGGAAAAAACCCGCTGCTCTTATATCATAGGGCTGATCAAAAAGATGACGTTATCCCTGTAAATGATAGATAAGTCTAAAATTGCTTTTCAAAATTTCTAATCTAACTATAAAGCTTAAAAGAATGCACTGATATTTTTGTCTCTATTCATTTTTTCAATGACGGAAGTTTATATTTTTTTCCTCCGCCCCAAATGGGATTAAAGCACTTGAATAATTTTGAGGAAAAGAAGACACTTAATTTTCAAGAAAAAAGAAATCAACAAAAGTCAATATTTAAACATAAAACGTTCGAATTCATCGGAAATTGAAGTCATAGATGTGATTATTGATTGAACATGTTGAACGTTAATGTGATCGCACTTTACTCGCACTCCCTTTTCTCTCTCTGAAATAAATAATATCTGGCTTTTCCTGAAATTGTCTCTCTTAATTATTGATAATTGTGATATAAAATTGCGATATACATCAAATGAGAGGTTTTGCGGAGGGGGGTAAGCAGGAAAAACTGCAGAAAAACCCTCGAAGCTCAGGAAAGAGCCAACAATAAGTTGAAAAGTTTGGGGTTTTTAGTTTTAACAGCGGGTTCGTATAAAAAAGCGGTTTTTCTTGCTTTTCTTTGTGAATGCATTTGCTTAGGAACACAGAAAAGGAAAAAAAGGAAAGAAAAAAAATCACAATACGTCGGGGTAAAAAAGAAACAGCTAGTTGATGTAAATAAAAAAACGAAGAAATTAAAAAGCAGATTGAAAATATTTATAAAATTAATCAAAGGACCGATGGAACACATATTTTATAGCATATGTCCTTCTATGATAATAGATAGGAGTTAGGTTGATAAGACAGTTACCGACGTACCTAATTGCATGAACTTTGTCATAATAAAATGATAATAAAAACAACAAAAAGGAATTAGTAAGAAATTTTTTTGAGTTTGGGTTTTAAAGCCCTCCTTAATTAATAAAAATAAATTAGTTTATGACTAACAAGGTAATATGAAAAATGTCAGTCTACTTTGAAAACTGTGAAAAAAGAACATCTGCTTGCAGTTTAAACATAATTCATTGTTTTGTTATTTTAGTTATTTTGTATTTTTCATGACAGCGTTCTTGCAAATAGAGAATATCTTTGTGAGAATTAGCTCAAAATGACTGAAACGTTTGAACTATATATGACTAGCATACGATTCAGGCATATTGAGCTCATTCTCACAGAGATATTCTCTATTTGATGATCTGACTTTTTACAAGAATCCTGGGTTGACGTCATCATTTCGGGATTTCCATTTTGAATATCTCGGCAACGAAAAGAGATAGCAAAAAGAAAGGGAAGCTTATCACGAATCACTGATCATTATACACGAAGCCTCACATTGAAACCTTTGTGCGTGACAAGC